GACAGCTAAACCGGGGCTGCTCGCGCCCTCACAAGGCAAGCCAAATTCTGTTTTTTTCCTGAGTCAATGGTCTTCATGTTTGGGTTCCGCGGAAATACTGTCAAGGTTGGCTCCGACCCAGCGGAAGCATCTGTCATAGATGTATTTGTGTGTGGACTCCTGTAAAGGTAGATTCACGCATGTCTATGCAGCGGCATGTGAGCATACGTGCTGCAGATTCGGACCCCAATCTGACCAGGCACGGAGAGCTGAAACACATGAACCAGAGCCATCCGTTGGGGGCTTCAGCTGGACCTCTCTGGTCGCAAGGCTTTGCATCTTTCCCACCCATCATAGACACGAGGAAAGAGCCCTGATCACAAGTGATGTTGTTTCACCCAGGGGGGGTGCTTGCGAGTGGTGTGGAATACGTAGCTCCATCTGGCAGGATTTGCCATTGGATGGAGCGGTTACAATAACTTGGGACGAAAAAAAAATCCAAGGAAGGTGGCTTCACATGAATAGCCAACATCGTCTGCAACAATCACATGCATCACCCTCAAAAGAAGCAAGTCTGTTGCTTGAAAACCATGATGGGGGGGCCCTCAATAGGTTACCTCCAGCTAGTATAGCAATTTGCCAGTGTTTGGCAAAAGGTTCAGCTGCGGCAATCATCGTAAGGTCGAATGGGGGATAGAGGGCTCAACTGACCTTACGATGGCACAACTCGTCCCACGGGCTCCTGGGACAGGCCCATGCGCATTCTCCTCTCCTGCCTGATCAGGGCAGGTGCCTCAGCTTGCAACTCGGGTGGGAGCTTGGCGGGACGTTCCTGGCAACTCCCCTTGAAGTGCCAAGGCTCAGGTTCTTTTCGGAGGATCAAACAGCTGTGAAGCATTGGGGGCATGTTGGGTTTGGATTCGGCTTCCAGGCATTTCATTGCCTATTCGACATCCAGAATCTACGACCGAAGCTTCAAGATTTAGTTGTCAGAATGTGGGGACGAGCCCCATGAACCTGACTGCGTCCCCGCACACGATCCCTGAAGGAGAGCACTCAGAAAAATGGGGAAGAAAAAAAAGATAAGCTACACCCTGCTTACCACTGCCCCAGTCAGGGGCTCCCGGCTTCTTGCGCCTTGATGGCCCGCCGCTCCTGGATGCAACAGGAAGAATTGCCTCTAAGCGATTGCAGCCATTGAAGGTGACAGTATGTTCTTTCTCCCTCACTCTCTCTCTCCTCTCTCTCTTTTTCTATCTCAATCAATCAGCCTTGTTCACATGCACTGTTGTGTGTGTGTGTGTGCCAAACTTGGTAGCCTGCAGCAAGCTTCATACACTCAGGTCGCTTCTCTATCTGCCATCGGAAACAAACTGTTTCGGAGACATCAATTCAACCATTACATGAAAGCCTCTGAAAAACCCAGTCCGCTTAGCGGAAGCAGAAACTATTGCTGTCAGTCCAACAGAGAACTGTCAATTTGTCAAAATGTATATAAACCAAATGAGGCTTGCTTTGATTTTCCAAGCATTCGGATTTTCTCGTAGGAGGGGGCGCTTCAATTCACCTGCCTTGCCCTCCATTCAGCCCGCCAAACAAATTTTACCTGCCAAAGTCTCTGCCCCGTCGCAACATTGAGCAAATCCGGCGACATTGCTCGGCGTCAAACGAAGGGAGCTATACGGAAATGATTGGAACTGAAGAGGCATGCGTGGAAACTGAAGCAGAAAATGAAAGGAAAATGACAGAGAAATTACGGGGGGGGAGAAAGAGGCATGGAGGCAGAGAAAAAGGAGAGGCAGAGAGAGAGGGGGATAGAGAGAGAGAGGCTAGAAGGGAGAAATAGAGACAGACGCAGAGAGGGGATGGGGAGCAGAGAGAGGGGTAGAGAGGAGGAGGGAACAAGGGAAAAGAGAGAGGAAAAGGAGAAAGGGAGAGGCCAATGTCGGCGGGGTCAGCCGGAGGCTCTAAAGTTAGCTCAGTCATTTCGCCGACAACTCGGATGTACCAAGCGGTTCATGCAGGCCGGGATTCGTATCAGCGCTGCTCATGTTAGAGCCATCCAAACGGGTACGTTGGGTAGCTACCCGGTCCTGGTGGTAGCTGCCCAGAACATCGATCGCAATGATCGTTCGCTCCACCTTGGCGAAACCCCGAAATTCTAAAGGGCCGGAGCACATCCGAACGGCAGTCCTCACAATTAAGAGCTTGGAAGGAGTTGGGGCCTCATCTGAGCACGTGGTTTTGGGCTCACCAGAGCACATAACGACTCCAAACGATTCTGGGCTCACAGGAGCGCGTGATCGCTCAAAGTACTGCGCCTGCCTCCCAAACTTAGGGGGGACCTGTCCAAAACCCACGCGGGACCTGGCTTCAACTGCGCTCTTGCAGGTCGCTTCACAAGCATTCGCGTGCCATTTTGGCGCGCGGGCGCAGTTTTTGACACGCGGCCAACCTGATCTCACAGGAGTACGTGACGCTCAAAACCGCTCAAAATCGCGCGCTTGCCACAAGACCCAGCCCCACGCGGGACCTGGGACTGGTAAGCACCTGCGCAAGCTCCGCTTCACAAGCATTTGCGTGCCAATTTGGCAGGCACACCTGCTCAAGTGCACCCGCATCCACGCATGTCAAATGCTAAGCGCACCCACTCAAGTGCACTGCCTGCATGCCATATACGTCGATTCTCGCATTAAAAAAATCGCTCTGCGGTATATTTCAATACAATGCAGCCAGGGACTTCCAGCACAGTTGACCCATCTGACAGCTCAGACATGAGAGACCTAACCTGTTCACTCGTGCCATGTCAGCTGCTTGCGGCAGCAAGGCTGAGCTAAGTAGCCAGGGGCCCTGGAAACACAGGCGCGAGACCTCCAAAAACCTTGTCCGGAACCTCTTTCCTTGAACCTACCCTCCGAAACCATTGCGCCAGAGCACCCCCTGCACCTGAACCTTACACCTGGCCTACACCACATCACCCCACTAACCTACACCAAAACCACCCAGAACCTCCGGAACCTTGCCTGAACCTTTCACCTGGCCTGTGCCAGACCACGCTAAAACACTACACCTGCACCACTGTAAAGTGACCTCAGATAATGTCAGGAGACGATTAGTACCCCCCCCCCCCCGATTAAAGGTTTCCCCGTTTCCCTCCCAGGTTCTCACCAATATTAAAGTAAAGGGCAACAAGGTTGCAGTTTCCCAAAAAAACCTACCCATTTTTTTGGGGCTCTCCCCAAACCAGGTATTTCTCTGCAGGCCCGAAGCCAAAAAAAAACTGCCAGAAAAGGGACTTTCCTTCTTGCCTCATATCGGCTTCGTCTGTGCTTAAGCCCACCAATGCTAAGTTACTATTGAACCCCTCAAGTTTTCGTCAAACATGTTCTTCCCCAAAAATGTTCTTTCAAACAAATGTTTAAACTGACAAGGTTTTCCAGCTCCCGCGAGTAATGAGGGCCCTTTTGGGCTCAAAACAAAAAGAACTGCTGTTGCCTTTAAAGTCCTACTGCGGAGAAGGGGCCAGAAGTCAGAAGGGGCTCGAGATTAACCAGGGGGGTCCTCCCAAAAATCTCAGTTTTGGGGACTTGGCCAAACCTTGTCGACCTTGAGGGGGGGGGTTTACTCATCAGTTGTCACCATCAAGTGAAGCACATGTTCGAGCAAAAGAACACTTCCAAGAGTCAAAGACACTGGTTCAAGTCTTATGAAATGATAGTGGGTTACAAACCCGCAATGAGACAGATTAGGGCAAGCACAAGCTCACGTGCTATCATGAGGCCGGCTATGAACAAAACATGCCTGGAAAGGCGCAAATACTTACTACTTGAGGAGGGGGTGAACGAAAGCTAGCAACTGTCGTATGAGACGGGTCAGAAACAGAATAGATTCCATTGGTAGCTTGCGCATCATGAGAGGCGCCGTAAAGATTCTCAGGAGGCTACACGCAAGCTGACATGGTGGCCCGGCAAACCATGAAAAATGAAAATAACGAGAGGTGTCTCAAGCCGTCTTATAGCACCCCTGGGTTCTGCATGCTGCTTGCGCACGGATTCCGGCAAGACTCAAGATGCTTTCCTGAGAAGACCGAGGAAGACCACGAAAGTGGATTCGGATATTGGGTCCAAGTCAACGCTTGAGGGGGGGAGGTGGACCAGGGAGATTCAAGACCGGGAAGGGGGGAGGGGTCTAAATAATTGACTCTTGCAATCTATGTTGATAAAATCACGCTTTCGGCATTTCAGCCCCTTACCCTGCTTACGCAAGGAGAAACTTCAGCTAGCTTCAGCTAGCTTTCGTGACCTGCACAAACACAATGTTCAACAATGACAAAGTCGACAGAGCGACCCAGCTTCATAAATGGAAGCTTGAGCTTTGCTTCGCTTGAGCTTTGCTTCGCTGCAACTGCTCCCACCCTATTTCAACCCTTCGGCCTTCGGCCAGCTCCGCTGAGGCTTTCGCATTGTCCTGGATCCGCGAGATCTCGGGATCCTTGAGGCGCTTGGAGGCGGTGTCCTGAGAGATGACACGTCTAAAACGAAACAAAAACTGTCGGGCTGGAGTGAGAGGCAGCGCATCGCAGTGGGGAAAAGGGCTTCTCCTTCATATGCATTGCCACTACGTTCGATCACTTGCTTCACTTGTTGATGGCTTAGGCAGAAATTTTGGGGATTGCAGGCTTGCGGGCCTGGGCCCAAGCCAGTGCAGCCGAATTTCACCTGTCGGGCAAAAGCATGTTTCTTCCCCGTGCCATGTTCGCATGATGCGCTTCAAGCAAGGGAGGTTTGCTCAAGAGTCTCAAGAGTGTTCATACCAAAGCTTCTCTTGCCATCTGAGATCTGAGCACTATTCCTAGTTGGCTCCAAGTCATGGTTACTGTTGGTCACATCCCCAGTCCCGCATGAAGGGCGGCAGCTCCGGCTGATAGTTGATCAGCTCCTGCACTGCAAACCCGACAGCTAAGGCCAAGCTTCGAGGGTTGACTCCTACACGAAAGGAATCCTCGAATCGCAGGGTGCATG